AGTAAGTGCCTTACTTTACTAACTATAACTGTGTATTGTTTATATACAATACACTTTTATATATACACAATATATATATGCATGTATATTGTTCTAAAACTTTTGAATAAGTGTGCTAAAAGTGAATCAATTTTACATCAGCATTACTGGTATGTTAACGAAGATAAAGACAGCAAACTTGTCTATTTGGTATATATGTACAGTGACTCCATCGCATAATCGGACAAGCATTTGTTCGATATAAATGTGATTTTTATGTGAAAATATGATTTTTTTTTGCTTTAACTAATACTTAACATACTTATCCATCTAAATTATAAAAAAAAATAAAACATTTCTCGTAATAACTATTAATTTAAACTAAAAAACAGAACCAACACAATTTTTTGGACTCAACGTATAGTCGGACAAAATTAAGCATCCGTGTTAAAAATGCAGAAATGTGGCATTTAATATTTTTTTGAATATCCTTTGTTATCCAGAATGGCCTGAAGACGATTTGGAACTGATTTTACCAATTTTTGGCACACTTCTGGCTCAATTGAGTACCATGCTTCGAGTAAAGCCTGCTTTAGCTGTACTATTGTGTTAATTTTTTTTTTGGTACACTCTCTCAGCTAATTCCTCCCAAAAATACTCAATTATATTAAGGTCTGGGCTCTGTACAGGTGTGTCTATGAGTTTGGGGCAGTTATGGATCAATCAATGCTTTGCTATGCCTGACGTATGCGTGGGATCGTTGTCCTGATAAAAATTAAAATTTTTTTGCGATACTCAACTTCTCTGTACTTTGCTTTGCATTCTGTTTCAGAATGTCGAGGTATACAGATTTGTCCATTTTACTATCTATAAAATTCAAAAAAACTACTCCCGCACTCGACATACAACCCCAAACCATAACAGAGCCTCCTCCATGTTTTATAGTTATTTTTGTATTGTGATGATTGATTTCTGCATTTGGTTTACGCCATACAAACATCTTACCATCAGATCTATTCAGATGAAATTTACTTTCATCAGTGAACAAAACCTTAAAAAAATGAAAATTATCAATGAAAATGTATTTAAGATGATTTACCATCAATTTACCTGATTCCAAAAGCCTTCTGTTTTTAGTAAATATTCCTTAGCATATTTTATTCTTTTGTTTTTATTTTTAATACTTATAAACGGCTTCTTTTTGGCAATTCTTCCGTGATAATCGAATTTATGTAATGTATTGCGGATAGTATTTAAGCATATATCTTTTCCAGGGCGGGGTTTTAATGATAATTTAAGGTCTTTTTGAAAGGATTTTTCTTCATTTCTTTCAATATCGAATGCTCTTCTCGATCATTTAATATAGTGCCTTAAGCTGCTCTGATCTTATTGGTCAGCCTAAACTCATCATGGGACCTCTTGATAATGTCTTGAATAGTAGATTGACTTATTCCAACTAAATTGACAATTTCTCCAACGGTTTTACCTTCGAAATTCAATTTAATTGTTAATTGCCTAATTTCGACAGTAGATTGCTTTCCATTTGGTGCTATTTTAATACTAATTTATGTTACAATTATATAATTTATAATTTATATTTATCTTAATGTAAAAAACATTGTTCTGACAATTATTATTGCAGTTTTGAAGTGCATATTTGTAAAATAACAGTATTTTTAGCATGAATGCTTAATTTTGTCCGATTATACGTTGAGTCCAAAAAATTGTGTTGGTTCTGTTTTTTACTTTAAATTAATAGTTATTATGAGAAATGTTTTGTTTTTTTTTATAATTCAGATAGATAAGTATGTTAAGTATTAATTAAAGCAAAAAAAAATCATATTTTCACATAAAAATCACATTTATATCGAACAAATGCTTGTCCGATTATGCGATGGAGTCACTGTATATAATGCTAGCTTAAAAATTGGCAATGCATCCTAGTTAATACCTGAACCACTTTGGGATCGTATCCATATAGATTTTACTAGAATCTACGCTAAGTTGATATGCTACTGCTTTAAAACAAATTTTTGCGATGAAGGTCATCCGGAACGCATCGTCAGTGGTGATTGCTCACAATTAACATTATAATTGTATCAAACACATCACGACAGCTACTTTCCACCCAGCTTCAAATAGACTGTCAGAGTATTTCGTATGCAACTACAAAGGATTACTAAAGACGAATATAGTCGATAACTAGTGAAGCTATGACAAAATATTAGTTTCGATCACAAAAGGCAAATCTTTAGTCGAAATTTTACATGGCCGTTCCATTCACACAGCATTAAACCAAATATTCAAACTTTCGAGCTTTTCGAAAACCCCAATTCGGAAAGCAATAAATACAATCTCTTCGATATTGTTTACTTACGAAACTACTCGAAAGTAGTCAGTCAGACATCTGTTAGTTGCTTCAAACCCCATCAAGACCAATTAAAGCGATGTGTAGTCAATAATCACAAGATTTATAATGAACAACGGAAGTATTACAAGTCTTCGAGACCCTAAAAAATCTGTTGGGCAAACTCCAACGGATCACATTCGAAGAGCTACGCCATTGTGCGCGTCCTCGAACTCAAATAGAAGGGTATTAAGCTGACAATTTATGTAAGCATTACAAATTAAATATTGTTGATATTAAAAATAATTGTATGTATTTACATACTTAATATGATGTTAACCATCTTTATCAAAGTATCCAATGATACTTGTCAAGGCACAAAACCAGCTATTGTCAAAATAATTTCTCAACCCTTCATACTGCAAGTATCATCTTCAATATCACGGTTTTAAAAACGTAGTACTTAACAGGCTTTCACCTGTTGTGCATCAAGATCTAGGCTTGCAAATTAAGAACACACTGAACAGTTGCTTGTCACGCATAAATACTAACATGTGAGGTCAGTTGCAACTCTGCGCTACACGATGTCGCCCATCTATTGTCATGTACAAAATGTGCACACAAATTATAGTTCTCTTGATTCATATCTCCTCCACGTTTCGGGGAAAACATTCCTTCACTGGACTCACATTATATTCAACATATTTATATATTTCCATCTTACACCATGTTATTCTATTATACAATGTCTTTCAACCTTCTATACACCTACTTTCAGATCTGTGTATATTCAAAAAGGTCAATAGTCTATTCTGATTTTAAAGCAATGCAAAACGCTAAGAATACACTTACTCCAATTTAAAACAGTGCTTTCATAGAGCAGTTTTCCTGCCAACACAATTAGATTGATTGATCTAAATTATAGGTTTTCTTGACTATTTTAAAAATTGACAGCTTTCTTTCTTTAAGAAGAGGAAATGTTGACCAAAGAAACTCTAAAACTTTTGTGTTTTGACACTTAATTTGTAAATTTATTAACGAAATCGTCTTATTCCTTAACCAGTATTTGAATATATTTTTCCTAATCCTTTCGATATAAATTTGTTGGATGATTGAAACAAAAGAGCTGCATGCTTGTTATTAATAATACTTTAATAAATAATTATAAATTCAGTAATTATGCTTTTTAAAACTTTATTATGCATACAGATAACAATTATACAAAAATACAAACAGTACAAGAGCAATTTTCATTCTGGCAATTTATCAAGAAAAGATCTTTATATTTATAGTGTAGAATACCAAAACCTTGAGAAATTGTCAATCTTGACACAAAAACACAAAAAAATTCCCTTAGATCACATTTTGTAGAGAATCTCAAGTGTAATGAAAATTAAAGTTAAGTTAATTAAATATTAATTTGTTTGAGTAAATTATGATGAAAGAACCTATGTCATTAATATAAAGATTTTTGAATAATGATGAATTATAGCAAACATTTATTTTTTAATTAATTAAAAACATCACTTGACTAAGCTTATTCTATCATAGTTTTGATAATTTTGTAAAATTTTATTACGTTATATTGAAACAAGATTATAAAGTAGCTATAAAATAATTGATATTATTTTCTTTAATTTTATATCTTATACATGCTTATTATTGTATTGTTCAAATACTTAAAATGTTAAATCAAATTTAAATTTTGTGCAACGTTTTACAATAAAAATTAGCCGATATTTTACTGAATATCGGAAAAATTATGACAACTGATGCCTCGGTAATTCGGCAAAAACAATTATACACAAAGCTTTACCTTTTACGGGACACTTTTGAACACTCCTATAATAATACCGGTTTCACTACAGACTACATCAATTACGTGTATGTACATATTAAATGGAATATCTTGAACCAATACGCATTGTCATTCCAATATAAACTCACTTTAAAAATTAGTTCCATAACACAGCACTTGGATCTGAAATTATTCTTTGCTATCATCTATTTCAGTCTAAGTTTACTGGTTCAATCCCTTGCATATTGCTAAAAGTTTCGTAAAATAATTGTTATTCTCTATCTTATTAATGCAAATCATATATACGGTAAATAAATTAAAATCTATACATAACATTCGTCGTCTCACACACTAAAATTGCATCATTTATCAAAATAAAGCCCATTTATATTAGAAATGGGACAAGATATTACAATATTATAACTCTACTACTGTGCTAATGATTGGTTATAAAATATATATATTTGGTGCTGGGTTTCTAATAGTTATCTTAAGAAATTAAAAATACATTTCTATGGAATGGCACGTGCAATAGCTGTAACAATTTCAGCTTTAATCAACATTTTTTTTGAGGGAGGCACTCGTTTTATGTCTGAAACCAAAGAGAGTAAAAACATCCGATCTTCATCTTGATTGTCTTTTTCTGCTCGCTGTTCGTTCATTTCTCTGCGCTCTAAATTGGTAAGCAACTGTAAAATCTTTGCTTGTAGTTCCGTTGATTCTTCATGTTCCAACCGAGGACGTTTCTTCTGTTGTACTGAAGTTTTATTATCGTCAACGTGTTTTTCTTCATTTATGGGGCTAGGACAAAGTACCGTGGAATTCATAAATTCACCTTCTTTATACTGCGCTACAGCGCAGTATTCGGTGTTCCAACTGTTTAAGACACTTTGGCTTGAAGTAGGATTACTACATATTACTGGTGAAGAAATCGTCGTATTTATATTTGAACTGACTGTATTTTGTGATTGGTCTAAGTCTTTATTTGTTGATTCCTTAAAAATAGCATCTGATACATTCATTTGAACTGCAGGTATAAGTGCATCTGCGAGATATATATCAGTGGATTCATCTACACTATTACCAAATGCTTCATACGATGCATCCATTTTAATATCTGGTTTAATGTCATAATCCTCAGTTAGGTCAATTAGTCTACTTGACTCTTCATCTTCGGGATCTTCGGTTTCATACGAATAATTAGCAGTATCTCGTAAACCAAGCTCTTCAGCAAGTCTAATAAAAAGAATAATTAAAAAATAAATTATTTTATACTCGAAACCGTTACCTGGCACAATGTGAACTCTTAATGTGTGGTATAAGGAACTCTAATTCAGCAATAATTGGACTCTCCTTTTTACGTATATAATTTTCAACCGTTGCGTTCTTTTTAACTTCGCGTGCTATTGAATCTCGCAACGTCTTCCAACGTCTTCGTACGCTTGATCCTGGTACAAAATGATAATTTTTAATAAAATGTTATTTTTTTTAAGTCTACATTTCATTAAATATGTATAATATTATTTTAATAACAATGTAACGTATGTACAAACCTAAGAGAGCAATAAAGAAATAAAACCTTAAAACACTATATTGTACTCCAAATGTAAACATACATATAATGGGTTTGCTAAATCAAAACGCTTCGTTTTGTCTTCTGACATGCAAAAGAACCATCAATCAAACATTTTTTAAGTCTCATATTCAGTCTATTTGATAAAGTTGGTGCGTTAGTTATACCCTGTTATTGCCAAACTTATTTTAGAAAATAACAATTTTAAGTAAGTTCTCGTATGGTATTTATAATAATTTAGGTGTGTATTAACTGAACTCGCATAATAACAGAATAATAGGACGGCGAATATTGCGTACACAAAACAATGGAAGCATAACATAGTTTAAATTCTTGGTTACTCTGAAATAACTTAAAAAATTAAGCAACGGCCAACAAAGTAACTCACCAACAATTTCCTTCGTTTTTTCGTCCATTGAAGAATATTTTGGAAACAAAGTAGCATAGATACGTTCCCATACTTTTTCTCTATAAATTTTATCGTTGTACAAGCTATTGTCACTTTTATAAAGAACTTCATTGCTACGTACTAACTGAATTAATTTCACACAATTTACTTCTAAGAACTCAGTTTTGGAACCAGATTTACTTTTATTTTTCATTTTGTAGTCAATACTCCTTACAGAGCTAGAAAATTACACACCAATACACAAAACGCTACTACACTTTAATACCAGCGACCAGCAACCAGCAACCAAAATAAACGCGTACACTACAAATCTTCCTTCACCACAGCACAATTTACAGCGAAGACTGCAAAAAACTATATGCATCTCATTTTCACAAGCAGCATTCGCCAATGCTCACTGCGCACCGCGGCCATTGTAGCGAACATCAATACTTGCTGCCTCAACAAAAATTTTCGCCAGTGCGGGCGAACTAACAAGCGTTGAAAATAAAATGACAAATACACGGAAAAAATATAAGCAAATGTTAACTAAATTTCAACATTTCATCCCATTTAGTTATAATTTAGTAGAATTCTTCCAATAATAGTAAAAATAATAGAATTGTATTTTTTTAATGATTTATGTTAAAAAATTATTATTATAAAAATTATTATGAAATTATTATTTCAGATTGATTTCGTTTTAAATGCATAGTAAGAGCTCCAATCGGCCTTAATCGAAGTGCAACTGTAATATATCGATAAATTTATGCGTACGACTGTTTGTTGATATATCAAACTATATCGAGAGAAATTTAGGTACGTGTGCACATCTGATCAGCTAAACTAATTTGTTGAAGGCTATGTGCCGTGACTTACGCTGTATTTTCTGTCTTGATTTATAAGAGTTTTATAAAAATAAAATAAAGTATATAGCTAGGTTATATCAAAACACGGTCGACTATTTATTTGCACGAAGCATCTTCAATCAACCCCTAACATGAAACGGTACAAAACACACGAAATACATTTTAAATTTGCGAGCTGTGTAATACAAGTAAATTGTGATGAAAAATTGTAAAATTTGTATTGCCTTTTATTGAAATTATTCCAAATTTACTACAGCACGTCAAAAAGTGATATAATTAATAATAATAATTCTTTAATATCGAGATATTTATTTATTTTATTTGACTATATATAGTAAATGTTTAATACAATAGAGTTGCATATAAAAATGCATTTAACAAATATAATTAATAACTTACATCGTTCATTGAAGGTTTATAAGCATAAATGTTTCTCATTACACAATCAGTTATTAATGAAGTTTTTGTATGCAAATGTACTCACCAATTGCTTTTTTCTGATAATCACTTGATGATAAATAATCTGGGAAAAACTCTTGATATATTTGTACCCATGCGGCATCTTTTTTATTTTTGTCAGTGTAGCCTTCAACATAAAGTACTGGGTAAGAACGCACCAGTCGAATTAATTTAATAGAACTTAAAATATTCGGATGTGCTAATTCAGGTTTAAAATTCATTTTAAACTATTCAGATTTTAATTTACTTCACTAAATCAACTCAAGTTTCTTCGAAAAAAGTCTTGCACACAAAAAGTATTTTTTGTTACGACTGTTTGTTGATCTTTATTAGATGGAAAATCAAATAGAAACTGCGGATAAAAACAAAAGAGACTTGAAAGGCAACTGTCAAAGATAGTTTTACTGCTGGTATTCGCCGCGAATTTTATTAGCGGCAGCCGATTAGTGCCGCGGTGTCTTGCCATCCTTTTCATTCATTCGGTATGCTGAAGCTGCCACTACTTGCGACACTCGTCGAAAAAGATTATAACATATATTTTGATACAATGAATATTAATAGTTAGAATTGGGAGCAGTTGCCCGCAAAATGTTTATTCGAAGTACATATTCGATATATTTATGCTCTATTTTTTCTCACATTAATAAAATAAAATATGAATATTAGAATATTATATTCTATGTATCGTAATACGCAGCATGAATATTTTTTCTCCCTTTTGGCTGCAGGCACACTGTCTAAATTGTAAATTGATTTTTTAGAGTTCGCATTTAGAAAAAGACTTAATTTTGTTGAACTGGTGGAATAAAGAAATACTCGTTTGTTATCATAGTTCTGGGACGCAGTTTAAATAGAGTATATATATGTATATATAAAAAAGTGTATATCTTGTCTTATTTATATATGTATGTCTTATATATACATTAAATTAACGCATATGCATTATTCGCCACTGCGTAACATTCTAATTGTAGTTTATGATTGGACTTAAAGAAACATATGTTAACATTTTAATATACGATTTCGTATATTATTTTTTATTGATTTTTTTTTTGGTTTTATTATTATTATTAAGGATATAGTAACGATATAGTTTCAATTGTACTCTATATCAGTGCTGTCTAGACCAGGCGGTATTTTGGACAGCCCTGCTCTACACAATTTCTGCAATAGCATATCAAGTTTTTGTATATAATTGAACAAGTATAAAATTTTCTAGCTCTGATTTTTTAATTTGAAAATCAAAATTAAAATCAATAGGGGTCTTTAAAATGATGTTTATTTTAAAATTATATTCATAAAATAAATGTAATAATATATATGGAGTAACATTAGCATGATTTTTTAGGTATTGCGTTTCTAGATTAGGTCTTATACACAAGAAAGAATAATATGAAAGCGTGCAACAAATAATGCCTCTACAAACAGAATAGTATTGAAATTTAACCATTAAAAATAAAAATATATTTGATTAATTCAATTATTCTACAGCTGGTTTATGATTTTGTTCTAACATAAACACAGCAAGTGAATTTGTTAATAAAACTTTCGCAGCAAAGTAACAAAACTCCAGAAAAATATGCGAATATAAAAGTCAAGTACGGCTTTGGGTTAGTGGGTTAAGGTGCGCTGACTCTGAACTTTAATTGCAGTCTCAAAAAATTATTTACGAATAATTAAATATAAGAATTATTTCCAGGACCATTGATGATGGGTATTTGGCAATACTCAAAACAGCTGTATGGTTAGCCAAAAATTCAATTAAATAAAATAATATAAAAAATTTTATTCTTGCAGTTTACTACTTTTCAAAAAACCTCATTATTAAATTATTTATTGAATTACAATAAAAATGAATTTATTTAGTATAAAAACAAGAACAAAAAAATAAAACGTATTCGAAAATATAAGTGTCAGCAAAGTGTTTTTTATAAATACAAAAAAAAAAAAAAATAAATTAATATATACTATGAATTAGTTAATTTAAATAAATATTATATTAAGGTTCAAAAATCTGTTAATTAAATTTGTTAGCTTGGGCATATTAAAGATGGTCAGTAGTTTAACCCACTCCTCCAATATTTCTGTCTGGCTCAGGAAGAATTTTTCGATGTTTTTAGCGACTTTTTTCTTTAAAAGAAATGGCTAAAAATCGCTTATTATAGTATCAAAATACTTTCGAAGATATTACATCAGAGAAATCATTAACTGATAACTGAATAAAAATATTGTCTTCAAAACTTTAAAAATTATAAAAGTAAAAATAAAATAAAAATATTATCTTCAAAACTTTAAAAATTATAAAGTAAATCACTAAAAATCGTGATTTTCAACTCCAAAAAAAAACCCTTATCACCTATAAACGAACAAGATCGACCGTAATTATAACAAATCCTAAATAGTAGACCCATAAAATTCTATCCTATAACCCCAATATTAACTTACACCCAAAACAGCAGTCAATAAAAATGCAACAAATACTGATTCAATGTACAAAAGAAGGACTAGCTGAACTTAGGACATCATAAAACAATTAATCTGGCAGATGACTAACATAGCTAATATAACATTATCACATTATTAGTAACTGAACTGAATGGATAACAAAAATAACTTTAATATTATTTTTTAAAATGCGAATCCGATATACACATACATCAATATTATTCATTTGTCAAAATTTCATTGACGTGACAATAGTTTCGGAGACACTTTAAAAAAGAACTTAATAAAAACCCCAAATTACCAGAGTTTTCGCACCAATCATCCAAATGATAAAGCTTATGGTGGCACTTGTATAGGAATAGGAATAAATAGGGTACCAGCTCCCAACGGAGCGGAGCACTGCGAACATGGTTGATCTTTTGTGCTGTTACAGACCCTAACCAAACAGAAGACATTCCGCTTTCCGAATGAAAGCCAGAATGTCAGCCATTGAGGATCTCCTAATGTCAGAAAGGGAGAGTAGTTTTCGACCCAGTGACCTCCTCCTCACCCAGATCAAGGCTAGGCAGTCAAAGAGAATTTGACTGAAAGTCTTGTCTGCTTCTAATCAGAGTCGATAATCTATCTTTTTCGACAGACCGATTTTATTAAAGTGATAACTCAGTTCATGGTGACCAGTTAAATATCCCACCAGCAACCTTAACTCTGTTCTGCTGAAGAAGAATACCTTACCATAAGGTATATCTATAGATAAAAATATGAAATGTGCTGCACTGCAAGTCACATAGAGGAACACTTTCAATTAACTATGATTCAACTTGAAGACATTTATAATACTTTAGTTCTCTCAGGAATTTACTACACACCTAAACAGAATAGTCAAAATCAAAGCCAAGTTTTTCAAAAAATATTTGAAACTCTTGGAACTGGAATAATTGCTGAGAGTGACTTTATAGTCCCAATTATAGTCCAATTGGTAGGACCTTTTGAGTGCTCAAAAATTCTATTTGAACTAGTGTGTTGGATATTGCATTGTTGTGATGGAGGATGATTCCTTCGACTGTTGGTTTTCCTCAATTTTCTGAAGGTTGTGTATCACTCAGAATTCAACGTGAATTTGCTCCGCCTGCAAACAATTTTTGTCGTGTTCGGGTCATGGGAACTCAACAAGTAACTGGCTATTTTGTTACGGGCACATCGGCGTAGATCGATGATTTACCGTCTGTCACGATGTTATGTAAAATGAAACAGGCAAATAAAAATCAAAATTGTTGCTGTTTTCAATACAAATTAAAAAACTGGGAGTAAGTGAAAAAACAAATGTTGGTATAATTTCGGTTATGTGCCTCATCACTCAGCCGTGTATGTATATATTTCCTTTCAAATTTGGACACAAGCAGAAACTATGAAAGTAATAATCAAAATATGAAATTGACAAACTTATGTGACACTCTGCACAACATGCATTTTCTTCATAAAATGCGAAATTTTAACGTACCCGTTAGCCTTTACATAACATGGGACTAGAACTGTTGAAATACAATTCATCGCAAAGAGACGCCCACAGAAAGCTCAAAGCGCAGCTTAAGTACCAATCGCCAGTCTTATAATAATAAAAAAGTTATACAAAATATTTATTTAAATTACTTAATAGTTTTAGTGTTTGGCAACTCATCTATTTAATTTCAAAACTTTTTGTTGATTTAAATTTCTGTTATTTCGATTTAGAAATGTATAATCAACATAATATCTTACTGCTCTAAATGCAGTAGTACATGATCGCAGAAATATGCTTCCTGGTGTTATAGGTGCTGTTGATTTTACGGAACTTAAACTAAAAATCTCACATGGAAGTAGAGCATTGCTACAGAAATAAAAATTTTTCGAAAATTTTTCGCAATTGCATTGAACGTTAAATAGAGTTCGAAAAGGTTCTCGCATGCTTGTCATTTGAGTGTGATCTGATGGTTAGCCCTAAGTTTATTTAAGAATTTAACTGAAACAGATGGGTTGCCAAACACTAAAACTATTAAATAATTAAAATAATTATTATGTGTAACTTTATTATTATTATAAGATATTAAATGACTTCAAAGAGATTGAAAGATATTAACGAGAAGTAATACGAGATGATTAATGAAACAAAGCCCTTGTGTCTCTGTTTTATTTTTAAATTAAATTAATAAACTCCATATTGTAAAAGTAATAACAAATAACAAGAGCAATTTATATTCACATGAAACATAAGTCATTGCTACTCGTATGACCTACTGCTACCTGCATAACTTTTTAATGCGCAAAAATCAACATTACATTAGGGAAAGTGTCGATATAGAAAATATCCAGACAGCAGAGGGCAACCGATATATTGGTGAAACTGTACTCTATTACCAAAGTTATAAGCATTAAGAGGAGGAAACTCATCAAATGCGGAGAAAGATGTTCGTAATATGTACAAAAACTACTTCAATGGAGAACAAGTAGTATCTTGGCAATATGAGTTTGTTAGAAGCTTGAATCGGTCTATATATAAACCTGCAAACTCCGAAATTTAATATCCTACTTCAATGTATACTTAAATTTTGTTATATACATTAGGTACAT